TAGTAGTAGCTTGACTGGTTTGTAGCTGATCTGTAATGGGTAATGTAGTAGTAGCTTGACTGGTTTGTAGCTGTTGGTCTTTTGACTCGCATGTGGCAAATATTGCATCTACAATGTTTTCCATTTGATTAGATTGCTCCAGATGGCTTTTCCATTCTTTCATCTTTCCATCAAAGTTAACTCCAAATTCATCTACTTTCTTTAGAGTTCTCCAATGACTCATACTCAATCCACTTTTACAGAGTCTTTTGTACAACTAGAAGGACAATACAATGAAAATACATGTATCACATCATTACTGCCTATATATCAATGGAAATCCCATGTGTGTGTGTGGGAAGAGGAGGTATTTGGGCATATAAGGGTAGGGATTTGGTTGCAAAATATGAACCATTACTTTCGGTTGTTTTCGATTATTATCATTATTATTATTGTCATATAAATTGTCATTATGTATACCTGCTTTTCAGCTCCTCCATGCCAAAGTAGTATGGATAACCGATAAGACATTGCAGACATGTAAGGGGTACGACATCTAAACAGAACTGATGTGGCAAGGGACATTGCTCGTGTGACCTTGTCTTCGTTTTTCTTTTTTAATTGCTTGGATTTTCCAGAAGCTACAGTTTTTAAAATTCTATGAAGAGTAGGTGCACGTTCTTCCAACTCCTTCMCGACGACAGAATCTTTTAAGTTGATGATACTTTCGGGCTTGGTGCTGCTGAGAACTGAAGGGTTTTTTCTCCTACACATTTCTGTGCTTTCTTTTCTGATATCGTTTTCCAGCTTCAAAAGGATCTTGTTTTTCATTTCAACAGACGACCATACGGCGTTCACAACTGTGTCTTGTTCTTTGCACGCTATTCCCCTTATTATTCGAGCATCCAGTTCGTCAGTGATGTGCTTGTGTACTGGTTTGGAGGGATATCTTATTTTGACCTACGAAATGAAACATATGTAAGTTTAATATGTTGAATTTTGAAAAATCAAAAAGGCTTGGATTTTTATGTAATAAATGTGAATTTAATTTCTTACCTCAACATCTGCAATTTTTGGCGGATTTGGATGGACAATAATATCGTCGTGAATAGTCAACTCTGACTGGACTAGTTGCGTTATATCACCGAGGATGCTTCTCTTTACGACACTTGGTGCTGCCACTTTTTTCTTTTGATTCAATGAGTTGTTCGGCGAGTCGCGGTTGCATCTCTTGAAGCGAGGCAGCGAATCTTCCGAGATCTCTCTTTGCTGTTTTGCCGAGGTTAAATCTTTGTTAAG